GGCGAGAGGTCGACTTGTTTCACTTGCAGGGATGTGAATCAGGGCGTACCGCGAAACACATGATTGACATTTCTCACTTTCCATGTGCTCCGCGGGCGATCGTCGCGAAAGCAGAAAATTATTTCCATCAAAACGTTTACGGGTGTATGAGTACTGTTCCCTATCTCAAATAAATTTATTTGTGTACAGTGCAGTATGTAGCAGCAATATTGACAAACGGCAAAAGCTGTTCCATTGAGTAACGCCTCCTGAAAAGACAAAACCGCGTTTAAACCGATCGAGAATTTTTTTTTTAGGCTGAATTAACCAGCGATCGACCAGAGAACTGCCTGGCAAATGCTATAAACTTATGTAGATCTAGGCTGTACCGACAAGAATCCGAATAACTAAGTAAGGCGTAATAAGTTGGGGAGAACCTTAATTCTGTAAAGCTCTCTTGATTAAATAACGTTGAGAATCGAAGTCGCAACGAACGGCAGAGAATAATAGCGCTGTCTCCAAAAGTCCTTCATCGATCGACAACTGCTTTCAACACGGTAAAGCACAGGTGACCCAAGCGTAATATAAGAGCTTGTACGGAGATCTGTGGCTAAAATATAAGAGTTTGTATGGAGATCAGGAGTTGACATTAAATTCGTTCAATGTATGTGTAATTTACAGAATAAAGACTCTTGAACATTCAATGGTGTCATTTTTCTCATCCTGGAGAGTTTAAACGAGATTTAAGCGAATTTTGAAAAATTTGTCCTATGGTGTTATAATAAGAGACAAGGTAAGAAACTTCGGCCAGTTTGACGACAAAACACTCTTTGGAAACGAGTCAAATTTGCACACAAAAAGAGCATTTACTCACACTATTTCTCACTGAACTCACAACGTAAGGCCTGTAGTTTCTCTCTATGCAATCTAATGAATCACACCTTTAGCTTTCACCGTGATAGCTGGACAAAAAATTGAAATATGACGGCCAAAATAGCGGAAATTGATGCTTAACGACGCTAAGTTAATCAGTTTGCCGTCGTCAACCTGGGAACGTGGTCAATTATCACCTCAGGGGTGGAGGGCACGAGATTGACGACAGAGAAGAAACTTGGTCCTTCATTAAATCAACTAAAAGTGCAACAATTACACAAACTGCAGGAACGGCTCTGTTCTTCTTCGATTCATGTTCATGCAAAGACGGTTTCTATGGTAATGGACGTCTATGCACTGACGTTGATGAGTGCAGCGAAGGAATTCATCTTTGCGACGTTCATGCCAGCTGTGTTAACAAGCCTGGTTCTTACAGCTGCTCCTGCAGAATAGGCTACACCGGAAATGGACGATATTGTTACGGTAAGTATTGGATCAACAATTTAAGTTCCATTGCTTTCCTGTTCACAGTTTTCCTCTTGCGTGATTTATGCCAAACAAATATGTAAAAGGTATGAAGTACCAAAAGTGTGAAAGGTATGAATGGCAGGGTTTTCAGGTAATCACTGATATTTTGAAAAGAAAAGGGTTAATTTTACTAATTATAAAGACAAGTTTATAAAATCAAATTGTTTTTGAAAGCCTTTTATTCTATTTGTGCATGTATTGTAGATTAGTTATGTAGATATTAACTCATAAGGTTTTAATTTTGTTTTATATACGTTTCGAACTTAAATTTAATTCAATTATTTATAACTCAAAACGTCATTTCGAGACTAGAGATTGAACAGAAAATAAATTAGGACTTCGATGAAGATAGTACTAAAGTAACGAGCGTAATAACTACGATCTAACTTACTTTTGTTTAGATATTAATGAATGCAGAGATGGAACAGATGAATGCAGCTGGAACGCTCGTTGCAGTAACACAGAGGGCTCTTACACATGTGGCTGTGATTCAGGCTTCCATGGTGATGGGATGTCATGTGGTGATTTAGATGAGTGCGCACAGGGTGTGCACGATTGTCATCCCAAAGCTATGTGCAGTAACACTTGGGGATCATATCAGTGTTCCTGTTTAAAAGGATATCACGGAAATGGCAAACAGTGTAAAGGTAAGCAAGTCATTCAGGTTCATTTACGTCAACAGTATCAGTACCACAACAGAAAAAGGTAACAACATCAGTTTGCTCCGTTCCCTCAATGAGCAGTTAACTGTATTTACACAGAAGTAAAAGGGTAAAGAGGAGGAAAGGTTTAAATNTCTGGATGGATCACATGACTGCAGTTCGCATGCAACTTGTAAGAACACTGTGGGCTCCTATTCATGTTCATGCAATGATGGTTTCCATGGCAATGGTCGTTTATGCTCTGACGTCAATGAGTGCAGCGTTGGAAGTCATCTCTGTGATGCTCACGCCACCTGTGTTAACAAGCCTGGTTCTTACAGCTGCTTCTGCAGAAAAGGCTACACCGGCAATGGAAGATATTGCAACGGTAAGTATTGGATCAGCAATTTAAGTTTCATTGCTTTCCTGTTCACTGTTTTTCCCCTGTGTGATTTATGCCAAACAAATACGTCTCCAGTGTAAAAGGTATGAAGTATTAGGGTTTTAAAGTAATCACTGATATTTTGGAGAGAAAAGCTTTAATTTTACTAATTATAAAGACAAGTTTATAAAATCGAATTGTTTTTGAAAGCCTTTTTTATAAATGTTTGTATTGTAGATTAGTTATCTAGATATTAACTCATTAGGTTTTAATTTTGTTTTATACACGTTTCGAACTTTAAAGATATCGAAAATTTAATTAATTTTAATTTAATTTAATATTTTATAACTCAAACGTCATCTGTAATTACCACAAATTCTCTAAGGCTGTAGACTGAGCAAAAAATAAGTTAGGACTTCAATGAAGATAAGTACTAAAATAACGAGCGTACTAACGACGATTTAACATACTTTTGTTTAGACATTAATGAATGCAGAGATGGAACAGACAGATGTAGCTGGAACGCTCGTTGCATTAACACACAGGGCTCTTACACTTGTGGCTGTGATGCAGGTTTCTATGGTGATGGGATGTCATGTAGTGATTTAGATGAGTGCGCACGGGGTGCGCACGATTGTCATCCCAAAGCTGTGTGCAGTAATACTTGGGGATCATATCAGTGTTCCTGTTTAAAAGGATATTACGGAAATGGCAAACAGTGTAAAGGTAAGCAAGTCATTCAGATTCATTAACGTTAATGGCCTCAGTACCACAACAGAAAAGGTAACAACATCAGATTGCTCCGTTCCCTCAATGAGCAGCTGACTGTATTTACACAGAGGTAAAAGATAAGATTCATGACAATGTAACTGTACAGATAGCGAACCAGGTTTGGCAGGTTTGGGAGAATAGAAGATTGTAGTTTGTTTTTCGCAAGTTTTTCATATTATTTTTATCTTTTGCAGCTTCCTCTGCCACAAATCAACAAGTGCTTCTCGACATATTTTTTCTTTTTAGTATGAGTATTGCTTTTAGTCTATTGTTCTGTATGTAACAACTTCGAAGAGAGTATAGATGTTACATAAAGTACTCTTTAAAGTGTTTCAATAGTTCATTAAAAAAGATTGAAAGTAAATTTTTAATTTACATTCCGACCGAAGTTGATCAAAGACCCAGACTTTTTTGTTTTCTACATTTATACTTTAGTTGTAAAAGAAAGTGAAAACAAAACAGAAATTCTTAGGTTATCAAAAGCAATGGATGCTGACCTCGATGTCAGTGTTTTCATTTTATTTTAGTTTGAGGCATATAGCTAATGCAACCACTATGATAGTTTAATATGACTATCAAACACTGTTAAAGAAAGTTAAATGCTGTCATTCTGCCAGGTTTCGTTGGGCATTAGTTTACAGCCATTCCTTTCTGTAGAGGTGAACAATTTTAATAGGATGCCATTTTCTAAAGAATAACTGAATCTTATACAGGCCTATATGTACATGAAACGAAGACTACATTTCGTAATTAATCAGCGAATATTTATGACTTTGATTTCAACTTGTAGCTATTGACTTCTGGAGGTTTTACTTGTAATTATTTATTACCAAATAGCTAGTGTTTTCTTCCTCCCTCTTTTTTTGTTTTGTTCTTTTCTCGTTTTAGAGCTGTGTAGCCAATAATCTGTAATTTTAAACTGATATCAAATACGCTCCTCAGTATCTTTTGCCGGTTCCCGGTTTTTTTAATGACGTTTGTAAATATTTGTTTGAAAAAGGTAATAAAATTGTTCTTGTTGTTGTTGCTGTTGTGTTTGTTTTTGTTGTTGTTAAACTTAAGATTCGCCACTAGAGAAGTGCAAAGACTTCGTAAATTATAAAACAGAATAATTTAAAAAATAGGTTTACGAGTTTGGGAGAACGAGAAAAGTTGTAGTGGAGCATGTTAGTAAAATCTTTTCAATTCCGAAACTAAAGAACGAAAGTGGATTTCGCAAACTCTCCTACTGGTACACGTGGACAGACTTTCATCGCGGCTTTCCAGGCCTCCTGCGCTAAGTTATAGGGGTTCTTGTGTTAGAAGTACGTCTAACAAGTTATGGATGCGTTTGGCATTTAATAGCAGAGCAGTAGAGAAGCTGGAGAGCCAAGCCCCTAATTTGTGCTCTTCAAACTCCTGCATACACAGATAGTCACAGGCTAAGCATGAATCAATTAAATTGTTAATTCGAAGATGAGAACATACGTTAAACTTTATTTTAGACAGAGTAAAAGGTGTTACAAATCTACCAGAACCTCAGCTCTGTTTCGCAAGACGCCGGGTGTTTTCCGACCATCCCATCACGGGGTGACAAGCTGTGTCTTTTGTTTGGCAAGGCTTATATCATATCTAGTTGCTGCTCTCAGGCGTTGTGTATCAAAGTTCTCCCAAACAGGCGTGTTCTTCCCCATCTGAATGATCTGGACTGACCTACTGTTCGTAGTATCGTTAGTAATTAGTTACCTCCTGTTGATGTCGTCTACAATTAGAATCGCTAAAAACTGCAACTAATATTTCTTGCACATTGTGCTAATCCTAATGGAGGCATCTAAGATTCGACTCGTATAGGTATCTCTTATTTACTAACCAAGCAGCCCGCTGAAAACTGAGTGAGACAAAGAATATCCGTTGTTGTTTGTTGCACATCCAGTCCAAAACAAAAATATAGTTATGAGCCAAATAACCTACCCTCAGTCCCGAGGAGGTACTGTATGGTCTATACGTGGACGCTATATCTGAGTCTTAAAGAGTCTGTCATCAGTGTATTACTGCAGACCCTTGGACGGCGGTGGACTGCAGACATATAGCTCTTATTAACCCTGCACGTAACTCTAATGCTAATATCATCCCTAAATCCAACCCTATGTTACGGTAAGTCGTTTAGTAAGTCAGTAGAAGGATAGAGAGGTTTGCTTTTCTGGCTAGTTATTACAGTAAAGAGCACAGCACAGCCAAGAGCGATGACGAACGTGTTAAAAAGGTCACATGGCTGCCAGCACAGGAAGGAACTGATCGCCTGACCATTAAGTAATGGAAATTAAGGCCTTGGGTTTTTCCCAAATCAGTAAATCAGCTCGAAGTAATGGATCTTATCGTGTATGATTTGATTTCCCGTTCTTGTTTTCGGTTTGTGAGAGACTCGAGACTGGGACATTTCCGACTTTCCTTCCCAAACGGAAAAAGAAGAGCAGCTCAGTGGGTTGTCTAATATTTCAACAGAAATTTCTTGAGGTTTTGGCGGTAAGCATAATTGGTTTCCGCTGACCTTTCGAACAAATCTTTTATGAAGCGGTGACCGATTTCACCCTGTCATGCATGTTGAATTGGTAACCAATGAAATGTCTTGTCGTCATATAAAGGTGGCTTCCCCGATTTCCGAGAATCGAAAGTAGTGGGAAACGCTTAGGTTGCACCTCTGTCTGCTGCATGTCAACTTCGTGAATCATCTGAAGAAAATGTTAGCATCGTACAGAAAGTGAACACATTACTATGTCACAATCTAAAGCGAAATATCATAGACTCCATCTCGATGAAGTGACTGATGGCACGTCCTATGAGAAACGCACTAGTAACAAACTCTCGATCGTCAGCTACTCCGAGGCAACACCCGTCTTGGTGTTTATTTTGGCTGTGATTCTTCTCATAATTGTGATGGCCAATCAATCTCGTGACAAGGAAGGTAGGTATATGCAGCATTGCTATGGCCTTGTGTTCAGTGCTGCCATAATTGTTCTAGCTATTGTCTATGATGGTGAGTCAAGAAAAATAGAATACTTCGCTTGGCACATTCTGCAGACATTTATGAATCTCTTATTTTACATGTTTATTAAATAAGACTGCTAGCTGGTGAAGTGTATAAAATCACAACATATGCTGATAATAATCATTATTTGCTTCCACTGGAATCGGAGTAGTGAAGCGACTTGCTATTGTAAAACGTAAAAGTGACGAGTGTGGTTACGGTACCTTAGAGTAGCTTCGTGGATCCGGTACTCTTTAACGATATGTTAAGCTGCGTGTGCGATCGGTGTATGACATTTGCAGACCGCAGACGTTTTAACTAACATCGCATTCTCGTTTCCATTACCGAGAGCTAACCGTAAACAGGCTAACCACAACGAAATTGTGCGAGTGACAAACTCCTCGATTGCTTTGAATATACACATGGCGCCTTTACCTTTCCAACCCCGTCAAGGAAAGATTTCTTCTAGCTGTTTTTTTTTAAGACGAACGTTAATTCTCTGCATGCATAACACTTAGATAAACCATCTAAGTTTCATTTCAGTCTCAGTGATTTCCTAAAATCTTTCATTCTGTACTATCGTCCATGACAGTTGAAAACGACAGCACAAGTTTTGCCGCGTCAGTTGACTGCAGACAGATGCCACTTTGTGACTCCAACTCAACCTGTACAGCTGAATTCAGTAGAGACAAAAATCGTTACATTTGTGTTTGTAACACTGGCTTTAAAAGAAACGGTTCCATTTATGCAGATGGCATGCCATGTCAGGATCTTAATGAGTGCAAAGGCAATATGCACAACTGTAGTGTTCATGCACTCTGCAATAACACCATTGGCTCTTATGATTGTACTTGTGTTCAAGGGTTCCATGGAGATGGCATAACATGTGAAGATCTCGATGAGTGCAAAGGCAATATGCACAATTGCAGTATTTATGCACACTGCAATAACACCATTGGTTCTTATGATTGTAATTGTCTTGAAGGGTTTCATGGAGATGGCTTGTCATGTCAGGATGTTGATGAGTGCAAGGATAATATGCACAATTGCAGTATTTATGCACTCTGCAACAACACTATTGGCTATTATAATTGTACTTGTCTCGAAGGATTCCATGGGGATGGCATGTCATGTCAGGATATTGATGAATGCAAAGGTACTCTGCACAACTGCAGTGCTCATGCATTTTGCAATAACACTATTGGCTCCTATGACTGTACTTGCCTCCCAGGATTCAAAGGAGATGGATTGTCGTGTGATGACAGCAATGAGTGTAAAACGAATACACACAACTGCAATGGGTATGCTGTCTGCAAAAACACAATTGGCTCCTATGACTGTACGTGTCNATTTAGGTGACCGGTGGAAAAATCGGCCGGTAAAATTTGGCGCGCTGCGAGTGGGGAAAGTACTTTTCAACGGCGAAACCGACAGGCCAGGGAAGAGTTATTGGAAAGGACTTTTAGAAAGTCTAGGCCGGAATTACCTTAATTTTCACGGGCCAAACAAACCATTTAGATATGGAATTCACCGTGAGCATAACCCTCTTTTCTAGAGGCTCTTATTTGTGGAGTTATTCGTATACTAGAAGAGTTACAAATTCTCCTTTTCATCTTGGGCCAGTTCGTCATATAATAAGGAAAAAATCGATTTTTACCAAAGGTGAAAAATGCTTTGTCGAATGGTGTGACGAAACAACTTTGGAAGAGGGAGACGCGTCCAAGATAAACTTTCCGCAGGCATTTGCGCAACCCAGTTGTAAGGTAAGGTAAGGTAAGGTAACTTTATTTTAAGTCGTAAACGTAGGGAGTGGTTGCCCTATCTCCCGAGCCAGAAGCTCATGACAAAAACGCACGACTATTACAATAACATTGCTACTTACAATAACTATATTCGCTAAGATAAATTCAGAATCAATTAATTATAAAATATTCCTAAAAGCAACTAGTCTAAATATTAAAAATTTGAGTTAGAAAATACAGTTCATACACTGGCACCCTACAAACTCCACACCATTCAAACGAAAACGGAATTGTGCCAGAGTTGTCGAGGATTTGGTGATAGCTGGTAACTGGTTCCACACGTGGGCAACCTTATACAGAAAGGAGTTGTGCATGACAAGGCTGTTATATGGTGGCTATACAACATTTAAGTTAGTACCTCATAAATTATAGTTATTTATCCTAGGTGTAAAAGACTGAGAAATATAATTTGGGCTATCCAGTCTAAACCACTTAAAAATAAATGAGCGATTGTATAATATGTCTTTGCTCTTTTCAAAGATTTAGATATTCCCAGAAGTAGCGGGCAACAATATTCAATATGCGGTAACACGTAGGCTTAAAAATAGAGAGATCATAACGTCAGATGGACCTAGGAAAATTCCGGAAAATAATCTATCATAGCCCCAGACCTCGGATGGAGATCTAGGAATAAAGCCCCTCCATTTGAGGTCTGGCGCTATGATGGAAACCAGCTTATACCTGGAGTTGTATCATCGTGCTGCATGTCACCAAATGCATAGTACGCCTGGTATTGTGATGGAATCAAGAAAGAAGAGGGAAACAAAAATTGCTGTTTGCCGATTTCTTCACCTGGTAGCTATGGTGTGGAGGTGCATAGTGGTGAACAAAAGAAGACATCGGAGCCACTTTTGGTTTCCAATTTGAGTGATTTGGGATCTTCAAGTTTCTCTGCTGCCGACACAAGTCCCAACGAGAACGTCACTCAGTTGCCTGTAGTGAAAAAGGAAGAGATAAAGTTCTCAGCTAAAGACGAAGTTGGCCGCGGTTCTTTTGGCGTTGTTTACAAAGAGACATGGACCGGAACCAAAGTTGTATTGAAGCATGGGAAAATACGAAACCCCAGGCGTCTTCGGTCAGTCATGGAAACAATGGTACGAATTTACAGCATGGTTCGCCACCCAGACATCGTCCAACTGTGGCAATTTCATAGTTGACGAGCTCAATTTATCTGGTCTCCGAACCTATCAAGAAGCGCAATTTGGAGGAATTACTCTTCAGCCATGATGGAAACTCTGAAACATTTACCATTCAAAGCTGTAACAAGCTCAATGTGGAAAGCAAATTTCCGTAGCTGTTGCCTACTTGCATAATTTGAAACTTCCACTGGTTCACAGGGACATAAAACCTGCCAATGGGCTGGTGCCCAAGACAACACACATAACTAAGCTACGTGACATAGGTTCGAGCAAGTTGAAGTCAGTGCAGTCCCTCAGTCAGACCACTAGCACAGGTATTCCAGGAACTCCTTCTTATATGGCTCCCAAATGTCTGCATGTGAGAAAGAAAGCCACGGTCCATTCAGATGTCTGGTCATTAGCATGCACGCTAGTTGAACTTTTCACGGAGAAGGACTGCCGGGAACAACCGTTGGAAGACAAGAAAGCGACCGCTGGAAAGGAAAGTGATGGTTTCGCTAGATAGCTACGTTTAAGACACTAATTGCTGTTACGAAAAAGAAAGAATGTCCTCGCTCACAAGAGTCCCTACCAACCACGATGGCTGCTTCCCTTCAGAAAGAGAGTGCATTTCGCAAACTCTCCTACTGGTACTCGTGGACAGACTTTCATCCAGGCTTTCCAGGCCTCCTCCGTTATTGTATAGGGGTTCTTGTGTTAGCTTATCTAACGTCTATCGAGTTATGGATGCACTTGGCAGTTACCAGAGCAGTAGAGAAGATCGAGAGCCCAGGCCCTAATTCGTGCTCTTCAAACTCCCGCATACATAGATAGTCTCAGGCTAAGCATGAATCAATTGTTAACTGAAGGTGAGAAGACGCGTTAAGCTTTATTTTAGACAGAGTGAAAGGCGTTACACATCTCCCAGAACCTCACCACTTTTTCCAAGAGGTCGGGTGTTTTCCGGCCGTCCCACCACGGGGTGACAAGCTGTGCCTTTTGTTTGGCAAGGCTCATATTATATCAAGTTGCTTCTCTCAGGCCTTGTGTATCGAAGTTCTTCGAAACAGGCGTGTTTTTCCCCATCTGAATGATTGGAACTGACGTACTGTTCGTAGTATCGGTAGTAATTAGTTACCTTCTATTGATGTCGTCTACAATAAGAACTAGTAAAAACTGCTTCTAGTATTTCTTGCATATTGTGCTCATCCTAATGGAGGCATCTAAGATTCGACTCGTCTAGGTATCTCTTATTTACTACCCCGGCAGCCTACCGACAACTGAGTGAGAAAAAGAATATCCTTTGTTGTTTGCTGCATATCCAGTCCCAACACAAGCATGTAGTTATGAGCCAAATAACCTACCCTCAGTCCCGAGGGGTTTCTGTATGGTCTATGCGTGGACGCTATATCTGAAAGAAGTGTTAAAGAGTCTGTCATCAGTGTATTACTGCAGAACCTTGGACGGCGGCGAACTGCAGACATATAGCTCTTATTAACCCTGCTCGTAACTCTAATGCTAAAATCATCCCTAAATCTAACCCTGTGTTATGGTAAGCCGTTTAATAAGTCAGTAGAAGAATAGAGAGGTTTGCTTTTCTGGCTTGTTATTACAGTAAACAGCAAAGCACAGCACAGCCAAGTGCGATGACGAACGTGATAAAAAGGTCGCACTGGTGTCAGTACAGGAAGAAAATGGTTGCTTGGCCATTACGTAATGGAAATTAAGGCCTTGGGTTTTTCCCAAATCAGTAAACCAGCGCGAAGGAATGCATCTTATCGTGTATGATTTGATTTCCCGTTCTTGTTTTCGGTTAACGAGACACTAGTGACTGGGGCATTTCCGACTTTCCTTCCCAAACGGAAAAAGAAGAGTAGCTCTGTAGGTTGTCTACTATTTCGAAAGCAATTTCTTGAGGTTTTGGCGATAAGCACAAGTGGTTTTCGATGACCTTTCGAACAAATCTTTTATGAAGCGGTGACCGATTTCACTTTGTCATGCATGTCAAATTGGTAACCAATGAAATGTCTCTCATAGCGTCATAAAAAGGGGCTTCCCCGATTTCCGAGAATCGAAAGTACTAGGAAACGCTTAGGTTGCACCTCTGTCTGCCCCATGTCAACTTCGTGAATCTTCTTAAGAATATATTACCATCGCGCAGAAAGCGAAAACATCGCCATGTCACAATCTAAAGCGAAATATCATAGACTCCATCTCGATGAAGTGACTGATGGCACGTCCCATGAGAAACACAATGGTAACAAAATGGTCAGCTGGTCCAAGGCAACACTCGTCTTGGTGTTTATTTCGGCTCTGATTTTACTTCTCATAATTGCAGGCTTAATTGTGTTTGCCAATCAATCTCGTGACAAGGAAGGTAGGTACATGCAGCATTGCTATGGCCTTGTGTTCAGAGCTACCATAATTGTTCTAGCTATTGTCCATGATGGTGAGTCAAGAAAAATAGAATGCTTCGCTCGGCACATTCTGCAGACATTTATGCATCTCCTATTTTACATGTTTATTAAATAAGACTTCTGGTGAAACGTATAAAATCACAACATATGCTGATAGTAATCATTATTTGCTTCCACTGGAACCGGAGTAGAGAAGCGACTTGCTATTGTAAAACATGAAAGTGACGAGCGTACTTACCTTAGAGTAGCTTCGTGGATCCGGTACTCTTTAACGATATGCTAAGCTGCGTGTGCGATCGGTGTATGACATTTGCAGACTGCAGGCCGCAGACGTTTTATTTATACAGCATTCTCGTTTCCATTACCCAGAGCTAACCGTAAACAGGCTAACTACAACGAAATTGTGCGAGTGACAAACTCCTCGATTGCTTTGAATATACACATGGTGCTTTCACCTTTCCAACCCTGTCAAGGAAAGATTTCTTCTAGCTGTTTTTTTTTTTAAGACGAACGTTAATTCTCTGCATGCAGAACACTTAGACAAACCATCTAGGTATCATTTCAGTCTCATTGGTTTCTTAAAATCTTTTATTCTCTATTATCGTCCATAACAGGTGAAAACGACAGCACAAGTTTTGCCGCGTCAGTCGACTGCAGACAGATGCCACTTTGTGACTCCAACTCAACCTGTACAGCTGAATTCAGCAGAGACAAAAATCGTTACAGTTGTGTTTGTAACACTGGCTTTAAAAGAAATGGTTCTATTTATGCAGATAGCACGCCATGTCAGGATCTTAATGAGTGCAAAGACAATATGCACAATTGTAGTGTTCATGCACTCTGCAATAACACCATTGGCTCTTATGAATGTAAGTGTCTCCCAGGATTTTATGGAAATGGCATATCATGTGAAGATCTCGATGAGTGCAAAGGCAATATACACAATTGCAGTATTTATGCACACTGCAGTAACACCATTGGTTCTTATGATTGTAATTGTCTGGAAGGATTCCATGGAGATGGCATCTCATGTCAGGATGTTGATGAGTGTAAGGATAATATGCTCAATTGCAGTGTTCATGCATTCTGCAATAACACCATTGGATCCTATAGTTGTACTTGTCTCCCTGGATTCAAATTCGATGGATTGTCGTGCAATGACATCAATGAATGTAAAACGAAGATGCACAACTGCGATGCTCATGCATTCTGTAAAAACACTATCGGTTCGTACGACTGTAACTGTCGCCCAGGTTTCATGGGGAAGGGAGGGTCATGCCATGACATCGATGAATGCAAGGATGGAACGCACAAGTGTCACACAAACGCACAATGTACAAACAGTGAAGGCTCTCATGAATGCACCTGCAATTCTGGGTTTCGCGGTGATGGTCAAGTGTGCCAAGATATTGACGAATGTCTGGATGGATCACATGACTGCAATTCGCATGCAACTTGTTGGAACACTGATGGTTCCTATTCGTGTTCGTGCGATGACGGTTTCCGTGGTGATGGTCGTGTTTGCTTTGACATCGATGAATGCAGAGATGAAAGTCATGTCTGTGATGCTCATGCCAGCTGTGTTAACAAGCCTGGTTCTTACAGCTGCTCCTGCAAAAAAGGCTACAACGGAGATGGACGATTAGGATACTGTAACGGTAAGTACTGGATCTCATTGATATCGTTGATATCGTTGATATCGTTTTCATAGTTTTCCTCTTGCATGATTTATGGTAAACAAATTTGTAACCAATGTGTAGTGCCAGGGCTTCAGATGATCGCACGGCTTTTACTTAAGTCACGTTTACAGGATTGAGTGGTGTTTGAAAGTTTTTTTTTCTGTTTCTATTGTTTGGATTTTAATATTGTTTGATATATCATGATATATATATTTCGAACGCACAAATTTCGAAACTGCAGATAAAATAACGATCAAACTAACTCATATTTCTTTAGACATCAATGAATGCAGAGATGAAACGAACAGATGCCACGTGAAGGCGCGTTGCATTAACACGCAAGGCTCTTACACCTGTAGCTGCAATTCCGGTTTCCATGGTGACGGATTGGTATGTAGTGATATAGATGAGTGCGCAGGGGGTGTCCACGACTGCCATCGAAAAGCGAAGTGTATCAATACAATAGGATCATATCGCTGTTCTTGTTTAAATGGATATCACGGAAATGGCAAGCAGTGTAAAAGTAAGCAAGTCATTCAGGTCATTTACGTTACCTTATACATTTATTGCGGTAAAGCATACAGCGGCCTCAGTTCCGCAACAGAAATAACAAATAATGACTACATATTTATTTAAGAAGGGTAAAGATTTAAACAAGACAAGATTAGTAAGACATTTGGCATATACCCAGCGTAAGTATAAGAGTGCACGTTGATTCCCCTACCGTGAGTGATTCTCTCCAAGCCTTTACCTGAATTGGTGATAATATTATATACCGTTTCTTTTTTTTTTTTACGTCTTCCTCGATATGGGGAATGTAGAATACTTTTCGAGGTTTGTCTAGTTTTTCATCGCATTTCATTTATTATCTTGCGATTTGGATGCATGGGCAGTGTAATTACACGGAAGCAAACCACGTTTTTCGAATTCAGGTTTGGAGAGTAGATGAATGTAGTTTTTTCTCAAGGTTCCTCATATTGGCCTTTTTTTCTTTTGCAGCTCCCTCTGCCGCAAACCAAGCACAAACAATAAACAAACAAACCAACCACCAAGTACCTCCCAACAGAGCGTTTCTTCCCATTATTATTATTGCCTCTGTGTTTGGGTTTATTATTATTATTGCTTTTATTTTTTGTTTTGTGTTATGTTGCTGTATGTAAATACTTCGAAGAGACTATAGATTTTCCAGTCATTACTCTGTAACTAGCTCATTCCGTTGTATCGTTAGTCAGTATTTTCTATTGATCTCGTCTAAAATTAGAACTGGTGAAAACTACGTACTACTCGTGTTCTTGACAGATTTCACTGATCCCAAAAGAAGCATATAAGAATCGAGCTTAAGAAATCCGAGCTGTACTGATAGTAAACCAGGGATTCGTCATTTCCTACACTCGCAGCGTAAGATTTGTGTGAGACCAAAATATCTATTCTGTTTTTTTATTATTTTAATTCAAGCTTAGTCCCAACACAAGAATAAAGTTATTAAACAAGTAACTGACCCTCAGATATGGTCTATGGAGGGAGGATCCGCCCGAAAGAGTTGCCGGTAATTAGTCCGGTTGGAGGTTAATAAAAGAGTCGGTCTGTGTAAGACACAGAACGCAGGCTGCCTACTGCAGCGGACACAGACGGCAGACTGTGTATTGGAGAGGACTGCTGACTAACCCTAACTCGTCGTAATATTGGCCGTAAATAACCTTAGACTACCATTACAATATCCCTGTAACACTAGTATTGGCCCTGAACAAACCCGTCTCCGCAAGTTATGATAAACGCTCCATGCTCAGTAGAAGACGAGAGACGTTTACTTATCTGTTATTAATGTAAGAGCACAGCACATCCTTCGCTTGCACTGCAACTAAATTAAGTTGGATGACGTGATAAAGGAAGGTCATTGATGTCACTTGGGAAGCTCACTGTTCACGTCGCCTGACCATTGAATGATGGAAAGGGTTTTCTTCTCACAAATCAGCAAACCAACCGAAAGCAATGAAACTTATAATTAATTACCGTTTATAATTCGGTTTCTCGTTCTTGTTCTCCGTTGATGAGAGACGGAAATCGGACGTCCTTCCTTTCCGAATGGAAAAAAGAAAAATACCTCTGGAGGCAGATTCACTTGACTGCAGTTTCCGAACGAATTTTCCTGAAAACTAAATGTATGTTCCATTTGACTTTCAATCGAAGTTTCCTGAGTTTTTGGCTAAATGGTAAAAAGCATATCTGGTTTCCGATAACCTTTCGAACATATTTTTGATGATCACTTCGTTATCCACGTAATGTCTGATTGGCAACCAATCAAAAGTCGTTTCTTCATATAAAGGGGCTTCCCCGAATTCCGAGAATCGAAAGTACTTAGAAACGCTTAGGTTGCATTTCAGTGAGTTGTCTATGAACAGGCTTGAACCTTTGTTTGTGAATCTTGCTAAGAATACCTTAACAACGAAAGAAGAACAGATCAGTATGTCACAATCTCCAGCGAAATATCATAATCTCAATCGTCCCGATGAAGTGACTGATGCCACATCCTATAAGAAACACACAAGTAAGAAACTGTCGATCGTGCCAAAGATCAAAGAATTGATGATGAAGTGGAATAAAGCCATCTCCAGAGAGAAACTGATGGCGATTATGGCACTTTTGGTAGTGTTCCTGATTGTGTTAGCGGTGTGTTTTGTTCTCATATTTGAGATCTCCACTACTTGCAAGGAAGGTAGGTAAATGCAGTAATGGTAAACATTATAAAGAAAGTTACTACAAATATCAGGTTGTGTTCTAGTGCATGTTTAGCGCTGCTATGATATTAATGATCCTGTTACGCAGTCGACGAGTCGCGCAAATAAAATGCTCCGTTCAGCGCAGTGAAGCATTTCTGCGTCACATATAAAATAACAGGGGCTCCAGCGAATCGTTTTGGTAAATTATCTGTTCGGAAGGCCTTTGATTGCCACTGATTTTCTTAAGAGAGTTATCATCCGGAACTTTCGCGATATGAGAAATTTAATGCTTGTTGTTTCCGATTGATGGAAGTGTCGTTTTGGGAACCGCGAATTTAAGTCAGCTATGATTTTTGGAAAGGCAAAAAGACTAAAGGTTTTCGGGAAAAGGAAAAAAGGGCCCTAAATTCGAGAAGACTCAAGTTACCCTAATGCATCAAATCATAACATTTATTATTTGTTATTATTATATTTGCTTTTGATCTGGGACGGAGTGACAACGCGACATTCACTGCTTTGTAAAACTGTCGCGACGTGGACGATGAAGGTTGCGCGGTTGGTTATATGAGGAATAGCTTCGTCGATCCTGCAAGATGCGAGCCTGCAAGCAGGACACTGATAATGAATACCTCCAACAATACGCAAGGCAAACAGGAAAATCGAGGCACTTGCATCGCTAAAAATTTGGAATTTTTTTAATGCTCAAACGTTTTCGTAAGAGGCTAGGCATTAAAAGAATAAATCAATATGAAAGAAGCTTTATTCTCAGATATTGTCCCTGTCAGAAGTTTAGTCTGGCAAAAGCGGTCATCCCAAAACGCAGACCATGCATGCAGACTGCAGACCGCAGACCGCAGACTGCGGACTGTGCAGACCATGCAGACTGTACAGACTGAGTACTTTTTTTTCTTATTCTTGTTTTTGCATTTGCTTTTGACTTGCATTTTTTTGGTTCTCGCCACAAAATAGCGTTCAATTATATCTCAGAGTGTTTGTTCTTATGACCTTTTATGCATAGGCGCTAGGCCGCGCAACCTCGGTACGTGACTGTTGATTCAATAAGCGAACGCGCTATAGACTTTGTAAGGGAAACTCCCTTTAGTTCAAAATATAATTAAGTAACGTTATTTTAAAATGTAAAAATAAACTTCACTTGTAATGTAGTGTCACACGTAAGATGTGCATTTTCTACTCTTGGTGTACCAAATGTAATTCCAAATGGTTGTTGGAACGTTACCACGATCACGCCAAAAAAGCCGAGTGCATGTAAAGATTACAGAAAACCGAATATCATTTGAAATTCTCAGCGCAGTACGGTTGCCGTGATGAGTTGATGTGATGGTAAATTTATCTGGCCTTGTGACGGTGGGTTTTTTTTTTTGGCGATTTAGACTAAGACTGGTCCCTCTTTCGCCTAGTCCGTCGAGCGTGACGCAAAAGCAAGCTTGGCGGAAATAATTCGCGCGGAAATATTTTTTCGAGGTTTATTTACGGTCACGCTCTTATGATTGTACTTGTCTTCGTTCCATGGAGATGGCATTTCATGTCATAATAATGACGAGTGCAATGACAGCATGTACAATTACAGTGTTTATGCACACCACAATAACACTAATAGTTCTTACAATTGTACTTGTCTTGTTGGATTCCATGGAGATGGCATGTCTTGCCGGGATAGCGATGAGTGCAAAAGGTAATATGTACAATTGCAGTGTTTATGCACACTGTAATAATACCATTGTATCTTATGAATGTGCTTGTTTTGAAGGATTCCATGGAGATGGCATGTCACGTCAGGATGTTGATGAGTGCAAAGACAATGTCCACAATTGTAGTGTTCACGCACTGTGCCATGACACTATTGGTTTCTATGATTGTACCTGTCTTGAAGGATTCCATGGAGATGGCAAGTCATGTCAGGATGTTGATGAATGCAAAGATCATGTCCACAATTGCAGTATTTATGCATGCTGCAATAACACCGTTGGCTCTTATGATTGCACTTGTCTCGAAGGATTCTATGGAGATGGCAAGTCATGCCAAGATGTTGATGAGTGCAAAGACAATGTCCACAATTGCAGCGTTTATGCACTCTGCAATAACACTATTGGCTCTTATCATTGTACCTGTCTTGAAGGATTCCATGGAGATGGCAAGTCATGTCAGGATATTGATGAGTGCAAATACAATGTGCACAATTGCAGTGTCCATGCACACTGCAATAACACTATTGGCTCCTATCATTGCACCTGTCTTGAAGGTTTCCATGGAGATGGCAAGTCATGTCAGGATATTGATGAGTGCAAAGACAATATGCACAATTGCAGTGTCCATGCACACTGCAATAACACTATTGGCTCCTATCATTGTACCTGTCTTGAAGGATTCCATGGAGATGGCGTGTCATGTCAAGATGTTAATGAGTGCAACGGCAATGGGCACAATTGCAGTATTTATGCACTCTGCAATAACACTATTGGCTCCTATGATTGTACTTGCCTTGAAGGATTCCAGGGANTTGTTATTTATTATTATTATATTTGCTTCTGATCTGGGACGGAGTGACAAAGCGACATTCACTGCTTTGTTAAACTGTCGCGACATGGACGATGAAGGTTGCGCGGGTGGTTATATCAGGAATAGCTTCGTCGATCCTGCACGATGCAAGCCTGCAAGCCTGCAGGCAGGACGCTGATAATGAAGACTTCCAACGATAATCATACGCAAGGCAGACATGCAGGCAAATCGAGGTTTTTGCCTCGATAGAAATTTGCAGGACTTTTTCAATTATCAAAAGTTTTCGTAAGAGGCTAGGCATTAAAAGAATAAATCAACATAAAAGAACCATTATTCTCAGATATTGTCCCTATAAGAATTTTAGTCTGGCAAAAGCCGTGCGCTACACTGCGTGTGTGACTGACAAACACCTCATGCTCGATATATATAGCGCACAAAGGCCTCTCATCTATGCAACTGTCAAGGGCTTTTCTTTATCCATCCTCTTTTTGCCTGCCACTTAAATACACTTATCTGGGTATCAATTTAGTATCGGCAGTTTCTTGATATCTTTGACTCTGTTTCACCTTCCAAAACAGATAGCATGAACAAATCAAATTTGGCCGCATTCGTTGACTGCAGACAAAAGCCACTCTGTGATTCCGACGCTACCTGTACAGCTGAATTCAGAGACAAACATCGCTACATTTGTGTTTGTAACAATGGCTTCGAAGGAAATGGTTCTATCTCTGGAAACGACAAGTCATGTCAGGATATTGATGAATGCAAAGGCGATATGCAAAATTGCAGTGTTTATGCACACTGTAATAACACCATTGGCTCTTATGATTGTACTTGTCTTGATGGATTCCACGGAGATGGCATGTCTTGTCAGGATGTTGATGAGTGCAAAGACAATGTGCACAATTGCAGTGTTTATGCACGCTGCAATAACACTGTTGGCTCTTATGATTGTACTTGTCTTGATGGATTCCATGGAGATGGCATGTCATGTCAGGATGTTGATGAGTGCAAAGTTAATATGCACAACTGCAGTATTTATGCACTCTGCAACAACACTATTGGCTCTTATAATTGTACTTGTCTCGAAGGATTCCATGGGGATGGCATGTCATGTCAGGATATTGATGAATGCAAAGGTACTCTGCACAACTGCAGTGCTCATGCATTTTGCAATAACACTATTGGCTCCTATGACTGTACTTGCCTCCCAGGATTCAAAGGAGATGGATTGTCGTGTGATGACATCAACGAGTGTAAAACGAATACACACAACTGCAATGGGTATGCGATCTGCAAAAATACCATTGGCTCCCATGACTGTACGTGTCGCCCAGGATTCAAAGGAAATGGATTGTTGTGTGATGACATCAACGAGTGCAAAACGAATACACACAACTGCAATGGGTATGCGATCTGCAAAAACACCGTTGGCTCCTATGACTGTACTTGTCGCCCAGGATTCAAAGGAAATGGATTGTCGTGCGATGACATCAACGAGTGTAAAACGAATACACACAACTGCAATACGCATGCGACCTGCAAAAACACCATAGGCTCCTATGACTGTAC